TTATTAATAGAATGGTGGGAGGGCGCACCTCAGAGGTAAGTTTCCCACAACATAGAAACCCTACCTCAAAGGTCTCTATTGATACCGAGAAGTAATGCCTGAGGTGCTGAAGGGTCGCATTCAGAGTACGATGATACTCTGAGATATAGAACGCATGCATCTTGTAGCTCGGCGGAAAGAATGGTACCACATCGCTTTCGATGCGGATGAGGTCTTGATATACTATCCAACTAAGACCACCGAGAAAGGCGCTAGGGTCGTGCTGATGTCGTGTATATGCGTCGTCAAAATTGACCTTATGTAATAGAGTCCGATATGGTTTTGGTAACTAGTGTACGGTCAAATAGAGGGGTGTAAATTTACAGGCGTAAATTTACACCTGTAAATTAGCGTTAATCAGCATGTGAATCTCGAAGGGCATTTTGGGGGTGTAAATTTGGGTGAATTTGGAGTTTGCCAATCCGATGGGCGTCTCCGTGGTGAATCTGTGAATCTCGCAAAGTATCTGCACTAGGGCTAGGGCATAACATTCGCAACCATGAATTGTGAAACGAGAAATAAGCTACAGTTACTATCTCTTTATCTTCAAAATCTCCCCGAAACCATTCCTTTGATTCTAATGTGAGTAACATTTTTTCGCATGTTAAGTTCTCAGTCTCATACTGACTACACAGAAACTAAAAACACCATACAAACCTCTCGTCAAGTGGCATGATATGGAATCCACTATCCTTGGCAAGCGGTCCGCTGAAGATTTGCCTCCTGCTGGTCGAATGCCTCCTCCACCTGAAGCAAGGACAGCACGGTGGACTCGGACTCGGACTCGGACTCGGACTCGGACTCAGCAGAGTTTGACAATGGCGCAGATTGGTTGGATGGTCCAGCTGCTCTTTCAGAGTTTAGGACAGTGGAGAAAGATTTGTTCGTGCTTGCGGCATCCAGCGGTATTGATTTGTGTGCACCAGTCGGGTTCTGCACCAACAAAGAAGGCCGCAAAAACCTTGTCTCCGTCCGTCCCTGACCCTTCTGCTTGGGACGAGTGGAAAGTTGAATAACTCACCTAATTCACTGTAATTCACAGTACATTTGACCTGATTCACCTGTAAAATAGCATTAATTTACAGACATGTTAATTTACGGTAATTCACAGTGGTGAATTTGAAGGCCTCTGGACGCACTGTAAATTTACCCTGTGAATTTTGGACAGTTCCAAATTGACCGTACACTATTGGTAACTTTAGAGCGGTAGTGCTTAATGTTGTCATTCTTTTGTAATTTAGCTTATCTTGACGTTTTCACTCTTACTATCTAAGATCTGAACGGCTACACTGCACTTTAGCGCCATTCAGTACTCTTCACATTAGGCAGAGCCTGGCCCAGGAGTACACTACTAACTTGCTCTACCATTACCTCATTGCAACCAAGATTCCCACTGGGCAATGGCGCGATCATGCTTATAGGCATCATCATGCAAATCAACTCTACCATCCATTAAGTGCAGCTGACATGGATGAGTCCAAGCTAGTAGAATGTATACTACAATTGCCATTAGGGAATCGACAACTGGAGGCCAAGGAACGGCAAAGCCCGTATCATTCAACTATTTCATCCAAGCTATGCCCTGTATGCTAGGGTTTTCAACTACGGAGTAGTAGCTCGAAATTCCATCGAGTAATGGCTATTCTGTCTCTCGCTTGCAACATAAAACCATGCATTTGTATGCGTGTCCTTTATTTTTGTCGCTGAAAGCAATATTACGACGGCAAGGCCCCGCGATCAACGTAACGCACCTTCAAGGACGAGTCATCAGTTTTCTGATGGACACTTTGGATGCTAGAATATCAGTGCGCATACTTGACTAATAGATTAATTCATTGAACCTTGACCGTGCCGAAAGTTTCAAAATTTTCGGTTTTACGGTATCAAGTAGTAACAAGTCGTCCTCGTGAATTATTTGGGGACTCACTAGTATGACACGGAAACGGCGCCAAGATACGTACCATCGTGATAGGGCTTTCAAACGGGCTCATCTGGAGGCACCCGTCAATTCTAGCTCTGACTTGGACTCGGAGAACTTCAATGGTCCACTTGAAATCTGGTTGTTCAATGGGCAGTCCGTTATGTGCTGCGAACGATTGCATACTCAAGTGCACTCTGAGTCAAGTGCACTCTTCTCACCCCCTACCACCATCTGTCCCTTGTTAGCTGCAGTGGGAATGTCATTTGGGCCATCAGCGAATGGATGATTCCTTGATATTGTAGCTGTGAGAACTACAGTAGAATGCAATTTTGCTTCTCCTAAATAATATCATTTATACGGGGAGAATTTTTGGTTGGGAATACAAGACCATTGATGTCTGTAAGTCCAGAGCAACATGAGCAGTTCACACAAATGTTGTTGCTTTCTTCTATTGCAGTAGATGAGGGGTAGTAGCACACTTCTGCCAATTATTTTGCACATTGTCATTTTGCCTCATTTGTGCTCTGAATTACGGCCTCATTCAAGACATTCTCGCGAAAAGTAGCTTTGACACTGCTCAATGAAAGTAGAATAGCGTGGGACTTCTTAACAAAGTCGCGATATGCTGCAATCATAACACACAAGGGATAGCAGCGCATTCCTCTCAATGTTGTTGATTGTTCTCGTTCTTCATTAAAATTAAGATGCTATCTCAGATTATCCACAGCCTTCTCGTGAGAAGTAGCTTGGCCCTGCACAAAAAATGTAAGATGGCATTATACAGTACACCATAAAGTCGTGACACAGCGCCATCACAGTACACAAGGGATCGCAGCATACTCCCCTTGACGTTGTAAACTGTTCTTGTTCTGTCTTATTTTGGCGGGCTTTCCAAGGCTTTTTAGAGTCTCCTCAACAAACGGCCGGGCAAAGTCTAGATCTCTACTATTAGCGTCCAAGAGGCATAGTTCACTACTACATCATATTTGCACCGTTGGAGAGTCCATCTCTTCGATAGAACCATTGGTACTTTCCTGTATTGCCTGGCCTATATACTAATACATCAGATATCGACAAAACTGTCCGAGTTCACCGTGATAATCTGAGCCATCATGGCTGCTTTCGGGATATGCTGCTGGTTTACTGTCACGGTAGTACTGTGACAACTCAAACATCAATTTGAACGGTGTCCGAGTAAGTTAATGGCTGGCACCCCTGGTTATTATGAAGTAGATAAATTTCAGTATCTTGCTCCACGAGCCACTGTGACAAGCTCTCCCTCGCATAAGCTTTGCTGGATCGCATCTTTACAAGTAGATGTCTAAGTCAAAACATTTTGATTCCGTGAATTTCCCATCTGGTCCGGTCCATAAGCTAATAATATGACCGTGTAGTCGCCAGCTTTGCAAGATGAATTTGCAAGATGAAGAAAATAAGCCGCGTTTCCCTCGAGGTAAAAGGTCGACGTACGAGCAAGATAAGCGGCAATACGCGCATGCCCATATGTATGAGGCCCAGAATGAGCCACCACTTCTTTCTGACTTAGTTCTGATATACGCTCGCCCTGCGACCCCACTGCTGTGACGTTCAGCGAGATATCCCTAGTGCTCCGTGTGGTGAGTATGACTTGTGTCTTGTTGCGTCTGCCAACACATGTACTTGTGCTGGACCGTTTGTCGATACTTGTACTAGTATTGTGCACCCGCAGGTGATATTGCGGATTCACCATATACGTCGGATGCGTGCGATTACCCCCAGCCGTTTTATTAGTCCACATGCTGTCAAATCTGGCATCATCAGCATTTTCATTTTTGATCAAGTGGAACGAATGAGAGGACCTTCTGCATATCCCTCGTGGGGGGATCCCTCATATTCCAAGACACCATCACATCCGACGAATAGGCATACACAGTGACCGTGAATCCGACTTGTTCAAATTGACCGTCGTAGCAGGCTAATATGGAGCCTGAACTTTGGGTTTGGAGTTTGGAGGTTTTGATGCGTGAAAGGAGGTGTGTGCTGTTTGTGTAGTTGCTCTGTGCGTTGCGGTGTGCCTGTTGTATCGATCTGATATACTGCGGAGAGGAAGAAATGCACCTTGAGCGCAACATGTTCTGGATCTCTCAAAACTGTATCATCTTGAGCATTAATCGTGATGTATTCATTTGTGCGGCGGGTGTCGCAGAGGTGACATGTTAAGAGTATCCATGTTTCTGTTTCTGTCGAGTCCCTTCCGTTCTTGTTGGTTTCGTTTGTGTGTGCATGAGGCGCGGAGTCATTGGTTTTTTGATCGTCCAGTCGGAGGTGGTGAGTAGAAGCTGTGTCCGACGTGCGTTAACGCTGCACCAAGTGATTTGAGAGAAGACGTACCTTGTGATAGATCTTCCACATTTTCAAGCTGCCAAGATCTGTGGATTCGTTGGAGTATGGCACACATGTGGGATTGAAGACGCACCCATGAAACGTAACACAACTCCCAAACAGACTCGGGTTCCAGCTGATATACAACCCCTCAAACATTGCGCATATGTCGTCCAAGCGGATATTGAAAATCCCTGTTTACATCTGTTACATCTACAGGTAGAAAGGGAGGAGGGGACTTACTTAGACAGCTCCCACTACTGCTGCACTGGCAACACTGGTATCATTGTGAACGAGCTGCTTTACTAGTCATGGTAAGCGTCCGATCTGGAAACTACATACTTATTCACAGTAGCGTGTTCCTCACAGTAGTCCCAGAGCCCATGGTGTGAAGGTTGTCCTCCAACCCTTCTTCAATCGAAGCAGATTAGCTGGCGGAATCCGACACTTTAGAAACAGAGGAGTGGCGGCTTGTACGAGTTTAACTCCAAAGCTCAAGAGTTGGTCACAGGTCTCTATCGTGACCTCTGACCTGTGACCGCCTGATCAGACGCTCATATTTACCCATCTTGTGCAGTGATGGTGCTGTGACTTTCTCCTACATTCAATCTGAAGTTGAAGACCTTCTAATTTGAAAATAAATTCAATTCGAGTAATAGAATGTGATTGGAAGGAAGTTTTAGAAAGAGAGATGATCCTCGAACTCATCCTCATCGTCATGCCCCTCGCTGTCCAATGTTCCCTCTACTAAGTCCCCTTCTTCACTAATGTCATCCTTGAGTTCTTCCTCTTCGTCGAGTTCTTCCTCTTCGTCGAGTTCTTCCTCTTCGTCGAGTTCTTCATCATCCTCGTCACCGATGTCCTCTTGTTCATCTTCGCCAGCATCCATATCCTCCTCGCCGTCTACAACTTGAACATCCATGGCTTCGGTCCTTACAGTTGAATCTGCCATACCAAGAGCATCCCGTGTGATTCTCCAAATCGTGGCTGAATGACCGATACCAAAGTGAGTATAGCGAAAGAACATGTCTCTATCAATGAATCTAGATGAAAAGCTTCGTCAGGATTGATGCAAGGGCAAGTAAGGTTCACACTTGCATCCCGACATAGTGTTCCTCCCAATCGTCTAGTTCCCCCCAAGGACGTGCCAGTGAATTCCCATAGCGGAGCGAACTTATACCACGTCCAGATGCAAATGCCGGAATCAAATGCGCCCCTCTGATGACTTGCCCTGGATCAAGGAAGCCAAATGCATCTGGGTCCGATTCTTCCACGAATGCAAGCTTCGGAAGGCGAGCATGGTTCATGCCAGATTTATGGGTCCGTAGAGGTGCCAGCCATCTAACCCATAGAACGTCCAAGTGCCGCTTCACAGGTGGATGCTCGTCTTTAATCCATACCTCCATATGATAAATGTGTAATACTCGGGCATACCAGTATGGGTGCCTAGGGTTCCTCTCCCCTGACAGCACCATAACGTCCCCATGAGTTCGGGGATTGATGACGTCATACTCACACCTCAAGTCATAGGTGGTGTAATGCACCTGCATCGTTTGCACCGAGTACATCACATTGTTTGGGATGATCACCGAGTTACGTTCCTGGTCAGTGAAGACATGATCGCAATAACTAACGTCGAGCTTCCGCAGCCTATAGAGGATATGGTCCTTTAATTTTGGTATAAATTCCTGACAATCAATGTGAGCAAGGTGTACTAGGCATGTCCAACGTAACTTCTACCTTGACAGCTGGATCACCCTCGTGTTCCTGGATAAACGTGATTATTTGTACTGTGTTGTTCCGATTGGTCGCAATATAATGATGCTTTTCTGGGGACATTGAACAGGAGGCGTTGGCTCCTGATTGATTGCTAGAGGACGAGGTGCCTCCTACTGCTGCCCGCCGCAAAACCCGACGCCTACGTTCATGCTTTGCCAGCTGCGCTGGAGTATCTAATTTGTTAGTCAGCGGATAAAACGCCTTCAGGGCTCTGTGAGCGAGCTCTCCCTAGGTCAACTTAACTTCAGATACGTAGTGGAAATGTCAACGGTACGTACAATCTGAGTGGTGAAGGAATCTGTAGTGCCAAAGAACCGGATGGTTCTCACATAATCTCCCATCGCATGGAATTTATAGGTACCTAAATTAAACTTCTTCGGCCTAGCCCCACTCGATTCAGCTGACGTTGTGTTAGCTTCAGGATGTTGAGCAGCCTTTCGTTGGCGTGCTGCTCTCTCCCTGGGTAATTTCACGGCGTTGAATGCCGTGCAGGTATAGCGTTGGAACTTTCTCAGCATCCCAGACAACTTCTTGAAGGTTTCATCCAGGAAAGTGACAGTGGACTCGGTGTGAAGCCTAAGCTTAGCGAGCGCATGCCATTGGGCAAATCAATACAGTAGAGGTTGTATTATCGCATCATGGTGTTTGGGAAACAGCCCTTCAAAGGCCGGAATGGCACACTAGAAAGGCGTCAACTAGCATAAGGCAGGAAATAAATAACCAGCAAACTTGTAAGATATCTTCTAGGTCGCGCGCTGCTAATCTCTTCATGTCAGAGGTATTATTTGAAAACTTGCGGATTACACCATTGCCGAAAGTCGGAATCTCTCGAAACCTATGGAAGTTTGGGAGTCGACTACTAGTTAGCAGGTAACAAAGCTTCGTGTAAACTCTTCATACCTGCTGTCCAGGGCTGCCACCAACTGACTGCCGCCAGGGAGTACATAGAGCAACCTGATGAGGTGCGTAAATAGCGCTTTCCAGGTGCCTAATTCACACTCATGCATGAAGTCGACCACCAGCATGCCAAACGCATCGAGGCCAAGCGGTCCGAGCTTTTTGACAAACTGATTCTACAGTATATCACATGTAGTCAATATAAAATGTAAGGAAGTAGTTGCACTCACGACAACAGGCACCCATGAGCCCTCACCAAGACTATGTTCTACCTTTGTACCGTCAACAGTACTTCCATTACAGATAAACTCGCGAGCCTTTTCGACCTTCGCCAGAACATATACCCGAAGGTTTGTCATTCGGTTTTTCATGTCCCTCACGAGCCCAAGAGAATTGAACATT